AGGAGAAGAAACAAAGAAAGCCCCTGATAAATCATAACAAAACAAGAAAGGAGCTAAGGCGTACAAGACAATCCTAACACTTTGTAATTTCTTTTACACATAGGTTAGGGAAATTGCACCAGTGGGCAACGGGGAAAACAGTGTGGGTGGATCTGCCCCTAATCCAAGCAAAGTCCTCCTTTGAATTAAATCAAAAAGGCTAAACCCCCATTTTGGTCCCTCAACTATTGTACGGATCCTTGATTTAGTCTCTCAACTCAAAAAATTCCTGATTTGGTTCTTACTATTTACTATTTTTACCCCAATTTGATCTCTCCATTAAAAAATCACTGATTTGGTATGTTATGTGACGGAAGAACAATGACACATCAAAACATGTTAACATAGTGCGGCAAAAAAAATGATGACATGTCAAATGAAATAACAATTTTGCCTTTATAATTAAACTAAATTATAACTTTGCCTTCAGATGAAATAACAATTTTGCCACATCTTCTTCCTCTCATCTTGTCATACTCCAAAATCAGCAGCATGGCACCGACTATAAAAATTGGCAAATCAACATACTCCAAAATTACATCTTCTAAAAGTAACTTGTTTTTCTTTTATTCTCTTAATTATATTCTTAACGGCTATTGAAAGTTACAAAACCCAAGTAAAAACCTAGATTTGGTTTACCTTATTGCTCTTTTTTTCATCCCTATCTCATCAAAGACTTTAGAGTTTAGATCTGGAGACATTTGAGAGTTCAACCTCTAGATCCTTTCATTTTCTCTCTTCCTTCCTGAACACCAGATTTGGGTTCAGTGAATCCACCAACACACAACACCTAAATCGTAAGAGGAACCCACCATGTCGTGCAACAATCACACGAGGAACCCAGATCCCATCGACTTACCTTCTCGATAGTGTAGCAATAAAAGCATACCCACTTCTTAAAGAAACAAGAATCAAGAGAATAAAATAACTTAAATAGGAAAGCTGCAAAACCGAGATCCATAATAAAGAAACCTAGATTCATAACAAAAGGGGAAATAAAGATTAAAAGATAAGAAATGGAAATTGTTACAAAAGAAATTGGATGCGTTGTTGAAAAAACCTAGAGTTACCAACCAAACTTTCCCATTACCAACTTTGTTCGTTACTCCCTTGTTATCTTTGCCTCCAAATCTCTTCACTATCTTTAGCAACCCACTCCGATTCAATCAAACCCAGCATTCTTTAATCAAACCCATCAGGGATTCTTCAACTGAACCCAATAGTGCCTGTTGGGTTCAATCGATGAACGCAAAAAGCGCTTTTGGGTTCGATCAATGAACCCAGCATGAACCCAACGACATCTGCTGGATTCATCGATCGAACCCAGGAGCGCCTACTGGGTTCATCAATCAAACCCAACAACGTCGTTGGGTTCCTCCTGGGTTCGATCGATGAACCCAGCAGGCACTCCTGGGTTCGATCGATGAACCCAGCAAGTGTCGCTGGGTTCATCAATCGAACCCAGTAGGCATCAATCAAACCCAAAGCCCCTAAGGCGAACAAACAAGGATCTGGGGGAAGATGATGAATGCTAGAGATGAAAATGAAGGGGTAATGAAAGGAAAATGGAAAAAAATTGATGTGTGGTTGAAGATGAGGGTAAAAAAGTAATATTAGTTTTGCAATTAATTTTAGATATTTTAATTTTTATTGAAAGTTATGTGTTAAGTTTTATATGCCATGCTGTCAATCTTACATGTTAATATTTTTACATGTCATCATTTTTCATCAACTAACGGGACATGTAAGCAGATTTTTAACAAGGGATCAAATTAAGGTAAAAATAGTTATAGTAGGGACCAAAATGGGGGTTTAACCAATCAAAAACTCTATCCTCATCCCATTGTTGAGAGTTATAGACTATTGAGTTCCTTGAAAACCAAATAGACCATCCAACCACCAAGAAGATTAGAAACCACACGTTTGCCTTAACCAGGTTTTTGATCCCGACGTTGTGAGTATCATAGAGGGTAGAAATTGAATTGGGAAGGGAGAGAGAGAGATGCCCCACCATTTATAGCATCTCATCCACAGACTTTGGACTAGTGGGCATTGGACAAACAAATGGTTTTCATCCTTTGAATCCCTATTGCATATGCAGCATGTTGTTTCTACCTTTTCCAGCTTGATGCCCCTTTTAAGAAGTCCTACTTTAGTTGGGAGGCCATTAAGGAAAAGGCGCCACGCGAAGCAACTAATCTTAGTGGCAATTATACTGCCCCAAAGCCTTTTGCAGATTCTTGGCTCCAAAATTCCATTTTGATTAAGGAACAAAGAGTAAGCCTTGCCAACTGAGTACCCATTAACATGATCAAAGCTCCAAATTCTTTGGTTTGGTTGAGAGTTCATGACAATCCCATCCATCAGGATCCCTTTTAGCCTTTGTTCTTTGTTCCTTTCCTCTGCCAAAGGTTCACGTCTCCATACATTTTCCCATATCCATGAGCCATTGAGGAAAAGAGATGTCCCACTTCCATAATGGTTGCATCGCTATTATTTGCCAAATTAAGTAATCTAGGAAAAGAGATGTGCAGGGGTTCGGTTCCTACCCAACTATCCCACCAAAATTTAATTTTGTCTCCCAATCCCAGCTTCCAATTAAAGCCATCTCTACATACCCTTGAACCTGCCACCCCCTCATTTCCTAATGCCACAATATTCCTCCAAAGAGTGGAAACATTCCTAACTTGTATTTGTGTAATATCCCATGCATTACCACCCCCATAATACTTATCAACAAGAACTCTCTTCCATAAACATTGATCCTCCATTCCAAACCTATCCTACCCCTTTTCTAATAAAGCTATATTTTTGCAATCCAGGTCTGGCACTCCTAAACCCCCATTACTTCTACTTCTACGCATGTTCTCCCAGTTCAACCATGCCATCTTACTCTTCTCCTCTGTATAACCCCACAAAAATCTCCTTTGTAATCGCAATAATTCAAATAGCACAATTTTAGGAATTCTATATATAGACATAAAGTAAATAGGAAGAGCAGAAAGGACAGACCTTACCAACACAAGTTACATATAATGAAAGGAGGTTTTTAAGCAAAAGCAATATCATGATCACACAAAATATCAATATATTCAATAACCTATAATGACAGCATTAGTGCCACAGCTAGAACTGCTTCTCCATCTAAGCCTCCATTTGCAATTAATATCATGATCAACTCACTATTTCAACTAACAACTTCTTCAGAAATGGATTCTTCTGGGCCACCTTCACTTATTAGTGATATTAATCCTAAGGCATTATAAACAAACTTGGCTAGGTCTCTGTCGATAAAATTTCCCACTGCATCAACAGCCATGTTGAATGCCATTTCTAGAAAAGATAGAAAATATTTTCCAAATTAAGTGATTTTTCGTTATCCAAACGGATCCTTAGGCTTTTGGTGCAGGCCTGGGATACATCAACTGTCAAAAGGAAAAAGAAAACAATTAAAATTACAATTAAGATATTTAAAAAAAAAAAAAAAAACTTATCAGTTCATATTGCTATCCTAGTAGGGTGGACGAAAGATATGATCATAAAATATGCGTACACACTGAATTAGTTCATTTCTGAACAACAATCGGAGCGTTCATGGAATGATTTTGTAGCTAGACGACGGCGTAGATTGCTCGAAGCAGAGGACTGCTGAGTTAGGCCTACATTGCAATCATGAGTAAATTGGAAGTTTTAACAAATCATTATTACAAAAATGAATAATTTCAGCTGTGAGCGTACCTTGATATTTGGTTTTTGGATAAGTGTGGCAGCGCTCATTACGGACTTTTGCAGCTGGATTGCTGGGCTGATCAGGATAGGACGAGGATCTTTCCACAACTGACGAGTTGGATTTACAGGTTGATTCAGCTGGGGATTCTGTTGGGTGTGGAGAGTGAGATCTACTGAAGTTCTTGCCCTCTTCCAACTGCCTAAGCTCTGTAGCCTCCTTGTCATCCTTCTTTGGACCCTCCTTCTCAACCTTCTTTGGCTTTATTTTTGGAGCATAGAATTTCCATAGACACATGAAGAAAAGTGTGGCCAGTATAGTCAGCATAGCCAACAAGAAATAGTATTTGTTGAGACGTCTTTCATTAACGTCGTCACGTATCCATTCTCCAAAAACTAAAATAAACACAGCAGCAAGTAAATCTCCCAAACCCTCCACAAAACGAATGAATGAAAAAACCCATAGATGCATGGATATTTCTACATGGGCGAAGAAAACATGATCCATCCCATCTTCCACAAGTTCTTTCGCAATTCCTAACAGGGCAAACTGTGGAACCATCCATAAGTTGTTCATGCTTAGTTTTGAATCCAATCTTTGAGACTCAACATACCAAGAACACATGCAGCAGCAAAAACAAAAAAACATCCCCAAAATAAGCTTTGCACACTGCCACTGTTCACTTTCTCTCCATAACTTTATGACTGTGAGAATCTCCATTAAAAGCTTGGTCATGAGGCCCGTCCCTTTCTGTATTGCAAATAAAGCAATTGCGGGCTGAAAGAATATGTTTCCTATATGATCCTCCAGTTTGTACAACGGCTGATAAAAAAAGGTCTTACCTGCACCTTGAACCACATAATAGATAAGGAAGGGTGTGTATAAAAGAAGCAATTTTAGAAGCTGCATAGCCTGCGTAATTAGACTGCACTTCTGACTTGATTGATTGATCTCCTCTGGCGGATTCGAAGTCTCTCCTGGGTTGCTTTCATTTTTTTGACACATGTAGTACAAGACGGCACACATAAGAAACACATAGCCAATTATCGTTAACATTGATGAAATCTTAAAGATTGACTTCCAGTCAAATACTATTGCTGATATCCACAAGCCGACGATGGCCCCCGTACACCTGGCAGGAGAAAGCCAAACATTTATACGGTCTGAAACATTTTTGACACCAATTATGTCATCTCCCAAACTAATGTAATGAAAAAGAAATCCGGACGTCAAAATACTTCCTGTCCTGCCAACAGCTAATAGTGCTAATGCCAGGTAAAAAATTCCAGAGCTCCAATCTGGAGCTATGAACCATAGCATTAGTATACCCTGCAAAAAGAATAATAGGAATTAGTTACCGTATGTTCTGTTATATTAAGGGTAATGTGAAAGACTGAGAGGTTTGTCAACAGTAGTTTTTTTGGTTTAAAGCCAATAAAAATCCTGCAAGTTGTCAAAATGGTTCATTGTTATCCCAAACTTCAAAAGAAGTCATTAAAATCCCTGAACGTTGTAAGAGAGGCAACCACCGTCCCTCTATCAACGACCTATAATGGAAATGCGGATTGGGCCCTATCAGCGTTGAAAAATTGCTGATGTATCACCTGTAGGCTTGACAATGGCCCCACATTTTTTTATAATTTTTTTATACACCTTTAACATTGTTAAATGCAATATTTTAAAAATTGATCTGGTGTTTTATCTATTTTATGCAGTGGAATTGGTTAATTTAATCAATCCTACAAAAAATTGACTTAAATTTGTAAAAAATAAGAGGCAAAACTTGAATGTAAAACATTGTGTCAAACCACTAGATTCAATAGCCTTAATTCCTAAAATTTCAACTTTTTAAACTCATTCATAATTCAATGAAATCAAATCTAGTAATTAGTAATTTTATAAATGTTAAATAAAAAAATTAATTTAAATGTTTAAACATCAAAATATTTTCATAAAGAAAAAGAAAAAGCAATACCATTAAATCAAACTTCATTTAATGTTTAAACAGTTAAAATTTTAAATCTTATTCAATCATTATTATTTATGATTTTATTAAATAAAAATTTAAATTCTTAGTAATAAAAAATTTAATTTAGTTTAGTAGTATGATTTATAATTTGGAGTTCTTAATTTTTGTTATTTTATTTTTAAAATTAACTAATTTATATGTTTTATTTTATTAAAAAGTTTTTCTAACTTGTTTTCATGCTTTTATTATACCTTTTAATAACAATTTTTACAATAAAAATAAAAAGTTGACTTTAATTTAGTAAATATCTAATTAAAATTATTTACATAACATTGACTTAATTGCTAAAATTACATAAATGCACTATTAAACCCATTATAAAAATAGTTTCGATTCATGATATAAACTTTATATGGGATCAAACTCAGTCAAAACTCGTAAAAAATTGTCAAACTTGTTAACTATTAAACTAATACATCATTCAATTCATAAAATTTTAAAAATCTTTCAATGAAAGCACAAGGGGATTCGACCTCCACTCCCTCAACACCCGTTGGATGGCTTCCACCACTGGCCCGTCATTACCTTCGAATAAATTTTATTATTATAATAAATAAACTAATTAAAAATAAAACATAAAAATTGATTAATTATTTTTTTATATTATATAAATATTTTTTTAAGAGTCAATTATCAGAATGTAAGATTGTATAAGAAAGTTGTTTCAAATCATTTTTCTTACAAAAAAATAATAAAACATGGAAAACAAAAGAACCCACTCCCTGTCTTCCCCTATCTCCACCTTGCTGCGTGCTTCCATCTGTTGATTTATTATCTTCCCATATATAGTTTTTCAAGTTATTTCTTTATGATGTTGAAAAAGGGAAAAAAAAAAAAAAAGAGGGGAGAGAAACTACCCGTACAAATTTGTTATCTAACAAAATGAGATTCGCTTGAAAAGAGAAGATACCCATCAAACTTGAATCATTAAAGACATAACTTTTAAATACAAAAAAAAAAGTACGTGATTTTAATGCAGTCAATGGGTCCTTAACAGAAATGAGAGAATTTGAGGATTTTATCAGTCTCGAATCTTGTTGATTTGCCTTTGCATGGGAGATATTCTATATTTAATATTTTTTAAAAGTTTAGAAGATACATGTCAACTGCGAAAAGAACTTTGTTAGTTTAATTAATGTTTGTCAAGTAAATCATTTTAAAACAAAATCCCCTTAACTTATTAATTTTGAAGGAGTTTACCCCTAAACTTGTAAGAGTAGGATTTGTAATCCTAACTTTAAAAGTATAAGGATTTGTAATCCTAAATTTAAAAGTATAAAGATTTATATTCTTAAGTTAACAGAAGACGTTGCAGTTAAAAAAAAAAAAAGAGTAAGTAATAACAAAGTTAGTCCTCAAAGAATATAAAAGTGATAAGTAAAATTCCAATAAATTCTAATGGGAGTTATTACCTAGTAAACAAGAACTATAATAAACATTTGTAATCAAATTGAGCAAGTGGCTCATTTTGAAGAAGAAATTCTAGCTGCAATCAAAGAAAATCTTTTAATTGGGTCAAGGCAAAGAATCAAGAAAATAAGAGAGTAAACTCAATAATACAACTATATAATAGACAGATTAGATTTAAAGAACAGAGAATTAATAAATTAAGAGAAATTGTTGAATTACTAAAATTAACATGAATAAGGAACAAATAAATTGGATTAACATGTATCTATTTAATACATTGGGTAGAAACATAATTTGTACAAAAGATATAATTATCATTTATAGGATTCTTAAAATAGAAACTATTAATGAAAATACTCTAAGAAAAATTAGAGAAATGGGAAAATCCCCTTCTCAAGAATATTCTTTTAAAGAAAGAATAAATGAAGTAAAAAATGCTAGAGATCTAAAAGAAATAAAAAAATAAAGGCAAAACCATAAGCTGAGCCCCTGAACTAATCCCAGAATCGCTCTTAAGCTCCTAAACTTTAATTAATCCATATAAGCCCTTGAACTCTGCGATCAAAGCAATTAAGCCCCTCTTCTTACGCCAACTTAACTGTCGTTTGGGACTTGCTCGCGTGGCTTAATTGCCGTTTAGGACACAGTCGTTTGGTTGCTTGGATGGCAAAATATTGCCATGCCATGCTTATATGGCAAGAGATTTGACATTTGGATTAGATTTTTTACTTATTTGATTATTCAATTTTTTTATTTAAATAAAATTTAAATAAAATAATGTCATACATTTGGTGAAAATATTATTTAAATAAAAT